CACCCAAAAGGTTTTTTTTCTTATTATAACGGGTGAGTAAGCTACCGGATTGTAAGCTACACGGCACGGTAAGTTAGTTATAACCATAGACATAGAGAATGGACTGAGCAATACCCTCATGAAATTGACCACTCTCTAAAAGAATACAAAACAACCTATCCCTTTCCCTCTTTCTTTGCCTCATTCATTCCACTCCTGCAAGACTGTGACGCAGACCAATCAAAATTCTGGAAAAAGACAACTACGAACCGCACGATTGCTTTGTCTTTCGCACACGTTTTTGTCTGTATTTACCTTACAGCTAGATAGAGAGTGAGCAGTCCAGTCTATGTCTATGGTTATAATTTTACTTTTAAAACTGATCGTAACTTGTATCTAACATCGTAATTTGTGTATTTTAAGTGAATTCAGTGTCAACCTGAGTCACCGTTTTTGGATTGATTCATACAGACTATGCCGACCACAATTTGCCAGTGCCATCAACGTTCCACAGCCTTTACTTTCTAGATAGTGTGCCGCTTGACGAGTCCGATGGTGATAATGACGTTGATGATGATGAGATGAAGAGCCGAAATGACGGTTTAACTACCCTGCAAACACATAAGGTGCAACCGCAAAATGATCGCGTCACAACTAGGCGTTTTCTCACAGATTGCTTCATATTTAAATCTATTATTTTAGTTGTGGAATATTTGTTCCTGCTAACTTTATTCACTTAATAGACATTTAAAAACATGCTTCCATTCTACCTATCTATCTAATTTTTCAAAAATTTCAAATATATTTTCGATTTGCATAACACTGCTACCGGAAGTTATGAAACATTAGATCCTGTTTCTATTGAATTTAGGTACTACTGCATCCCCCAACATCATAGGTAACTCTGATTGTAGAAATAGTATGATCAAGCAAACTGACAACATCTATTCGATAGTAATTATTATTATTCGTTTTGACAGCATGCAGTGCAACCTTAACATAGTTATAATTTTAACCAGCAGGTGCCGTGACCAAAATGGCTAATTCCAAATAAGTAAACTGCAAACTCTTGGTTCAAAACAAATTCATTATATTTATTTAAGTATACATTTATTTTAGTTAGAAATAAATTTCTGTACTAATAATAAATAGACAATGATCCTGGAATTTTCTGAGTGGATGACCTGACAGTAGAACAAATACATGAAGAAGGATTTAAAAATAGAATTCTGTTCGTACGAAAGAAGTTTTTGTGATTTAACAAAAAACTTTCCATTTGCTTTCGAAGAAGAAAGATTTATCGGTATAAGAAAAGTTTTAAGAGAGCTGCGTATATGGGATTGTAAGAAGTGGTGGGTGTTGTTTGTAGAAGGTAACGATGTCATCTGCCCAAAAACATAAAGAAGGTTTAATGTTAATTAATGATTGAGACAAAACGAAACACTTGAAAAGAATTGAAAGAAAACACCATCAGATGAGCGCCGTTAGAATCAGGTTCAAGAAAACTTTACAACTGCCCAGATTTTGATTTTTTAATGAAAAACCTGGTAAGTAGTCAAAATAATATCCGTGAGACATCTTCTCGCTTTCTAAAGATTGACGTTTTAGCTGCGGCTTTACTGATTCCAACGCATCAGTTCATTCAATCCCTCCTAAATTGGTTTTTTCGGGAAGATTCATTTCGTAAGTAGTCGTAGAGTGTTAGCAAACATACAGACAGACAAACGTTTTAGGGCGGTATTCGTTTTATAATATACAATTATATTTAACTGTTTACAGTTTTATAGACACTATTTTTCACATTTGAAACTTGTTAAACTGAGCTTCCACAACCGTTGTACAGAGTACTGCTGCTTTTCAGGATTAGGCCCTGTTGTTACTGCGGCGGCGGGAATGGTGACCGTAACGGCGCGGTTGAAAAAGGACAAACGTCACATGGTGGCAAATATGAACAGGGCCTTACCCTGCTTTCACACAGACGGTTTTCTAACGGCAACCGTGCCGTGCCGTGTCGTAATTTCATTTTGCTTTGCGTTCACACTGCACACGGTTTTTCACGGTTTAGTTTTGTTTTGATACATGACCAAAATGGACGAAAGAAAAAAATGCATGTTGTTACTAATGATATGGCATAATCGCAGAAAAACACAAAAAACAAGAAGATTTTGGATTCATCCACTACTTGAAAACAGACAATTGATGGGTGAACTTGTAACATTATTTCATGAGCTACGAGAGGATAGCTCCAAATTTTTTAATTATTTTCGAATGTCCATTAGGAGTTTCGATGAATTATGCGCAAAATTGCAAGATGATTTAAAAATTAGTAATAATATTTAATATCAAGAGGGAAATAAAAAGAAAATGAGTATCAATCAGAAAACAATCTACCAGAAATAGAAAAAGGTTTTCCTTTCTGTTATGTAACGCTTTGATACCAAAAGAAATCAAATTATTAAAGTTTTCACTGTCTAGCTTATAAGAGATAAAAGAAGATTGTAATATATATCTGTACAAAACCTTGTTTCTTCAAAAATATCCGAGAAAATTTAAATGCTCATATTCAATATATCCTTTGTATTATCTTCCCCAATGATATATTATTAAGAAAGGAGGTAAATTTTTCTTAATTATATAATCTCTACCGATGCTTGATAAAGACACTGTTCCAAATATTTTCACAGAGAATAATAATAATAGAAAGACAGATACAAAAGAATTCGAGTAGAAATATTTACAAAAGGGTGTAATATGTAGCGATCGACGGTGGCCTCCCTAGTTCCTGCCAAATCCATCCACCAACCGAAACCTGATATTTATTACCAAAAAATATATGAATATTGACGAAATTAACCAATAATTATAAAACAAAATTAAAAGTGCATTGAGAATCTTTTTGAACATGACGGTAACTAACTGCAGTGGAAAACGTTTGTTTTCCAAATTGAAAAGAATGAAAAATGAATTAAGAAGTACAACTCTTAATGAAAGATTAACCAGTTTGTCGCCAAAACCCATAAAATGTGATGTGCTCAAAAACATAGAACGATTATTGAAGGAAACATTTTCAATAAGCACAAAATTTTAAGAACTAAATAATTAATAAATACATAAATAAATAAATAAATAAATCGTCAAACCAACCTTTTATTGTAGTCTTAAACAAAAAAAGCGGCTTGACCGAATGTTATGAAACTTCTTTCACATCATTTTGATGTTAATATGCTCTGATTGGCATACCTCAACCAAGTCGATACCACTTTTACTTCGCGTAATATTTTGCCCCATTGCGGTAACTTCCTCGTGAGTAGGAAGTTAATAAAATCTTGTTTCTTTTACTGCGTAAGAAAAATAAAATACATTCTAACGATTCTAACCCTCTAACCGCGTACTTGAGTTATTTATTACATTTTCATTTATAAACCTTATCTACCACGTGCCTTTGCAAAATGCGTGTGTTTTTTACTAATAAATCAACAACGTATCATTTACTACCCTCTTTTCTGGCATGTTAAGACCCTAAAGTCATAAAAATGTCTATTTATCAGCTCCTTGTTACCAATAGGGAATTGTTCTTACCTCAAGGCAGAGATAAGTAAGTTAACATCTTTTATCCGGTTTTAGTGCTCCTTTAGATTTCAAGTACCTTGGAATTGCACCTGTTCTCTTCCTGTTTTTAACGGAACATAAAGGCAGGTATCAACAATCCTTTACTAACGGAACTTTATTGTTAGTTAAACAATTAGCGAAGCTTAAGTTCTATGTAATGTAAAAATAGGAAAAAAAAAATACCACAGAGTTATGTAACACAGTCCTATGCTGCCCTGTAAGCTGCGGTGAGTCATGAAATGAAAAAAAAAGGAATCCCTCTCCGTCACAGCTGACTATCAATTCCGCATGGTCAAAACAAAAAGATTCTTATTGGGATCCGTCAAATGGGCATACACCATCTGGTGGCAAAATTTATAACTCGAATGAGGGAAAAATTTACATAGGAACTGTGCACGCAAATTGTAAAATTGTTTATTAAAATAATAAAACACGTTAAAAAAGTAAAAATTTTTTTGATGATGGAGTCGATGAACTTTTCTTCTAAAGTTAAATCAAAGAAAAAAGTAATCTAATAGAAGCTTGGATGAAAGCAGTAGGTATCAAAGAAGTGAATTCCGGAATAAAAATTTGTTCACGTCATTTTAATGTACATGATTATATTTCGACAAGTATTTATCATCAGCCATAACCTTAATATTTAAAACTAGAATCATACTAAAATTATAAAGTGAGAAATTATTTATTCCTGTGTAATTGATTTAACACAATTCTAATGATACGATATAAGTATTTTGAGGTTAAGAACCTACCTGCTGCAATACAACAAAGTTGCAATAATGTGTTTGCAACGTTCTCTTAAATCGGCTTTGCACGTGCAAGTCATTGATATGATATTGCTTAAATCACCCAGAATCACCTCACCAATTATATAACGTGAATCACTTTTTAAATCCGAAGTTTGTAAAAAGTAGGCAGTAAACTTGACGGAATTTGAAGGCTAGCTTCCGGATTTGTTATTTCCGAATTTTCTAATGTGATTGACATTAAAAACACGCTCACCTTCAACGAAATTTCCTTTCCGAGGCTTTGTGTCAGCCCAATCACATATTGTGTCAATACTTATCATTTTATCGTAATTTAAAAACTTGGAACACTATAGGAACTACGATAAATTTTCCCTAATCGGCACCATGTTTTTAGGCTCCTCCCATTTGACGGATCCCAATATCTTTGAAAAGTCTACGCGCAATTCAGACGCGCACTACCGTACTGCGCAACGTACAAAGGAGCATAACATAGTGACGCTTCTACGGATCGCGCCTTATATTACTTAATTAAATCATGCAGTTCGCTTCTTAATAAATACAGACACTTTATATCTAAATACTGGCAAGAAGGGACTGAAGAACTAACAAGTATAAAGCACACGTCTTGCAAATATGCGTAAAATAGATAGAATAACAACTTACGTGTTCGGGATATTTCTCATGTTCCTATGCCTCATGAATATCACAACAAGGGTACCATTTCCAAGAACACCGATAACGAATATTAGAAAAAACAGCACTGGCACAAAATATGTCTCTGGACGTTCCCGGTAAGGAATGTATTCCTCAATTGACGTGTTAATACTCGTACTTGAATTATTCATGGCTAAACCAGACTCCAAAGCCACGAAAAATTATTCACACAAGGCCCTTCTGCTAGACATGTTTGTACGTCAATAATGCGTAGTGTAATACGCTATCGAACTTTTTTAAATTGAATTTCGTGTCCATTGGGGGAGGTAGCGATAATGAGGATGGATGTTTAGCATGATTCCATGGTGTATACAGTTGTCTGAAAGAGAAGATGCATTATTGATAAAAATATCTAAAAATGCATTCGTTTGAATAAAGATAACAATAAATTTCTGCAAGAAAAAGTATTTTAACTGTACGGAGGTGTATCATTTCATGAATAACTTCCTGCAAAGTGAACTTTCTATAGAGGTATAATGTAGGATTTTCAATTATCATCATAATCATCACCTCCAATTCTTCCTATCCTGAGCTAACCTTGCATTTCCTTAAAACTAGAACATCCCACATACTTAACTATTTGCTAACAGTAATCTAATCTAGATCTACGTCTACTCCTTTTAACTCCTGTTTCTGCCTCTAATATGCCTCTGACTAGACCTTCATGCCTAAGATGTCCTACCAACCTATCTCGTCAATTTTTTATTGACTTCCACAGAGTCCTCTGTTCTGTTCAATTATCATACTAATCTTATTTTTATCAATCACTAGTTGAACCGGACCAAATGTAGATGGATTGGTACCGTTTTCGGTGGTGCACAGAATATCTATTTTAATCAAGTATAATACTTTAAATGTCAAACTGTTAAAGTTAGAATGTACCTGCTAAAATGAATACTGAATATAGAGATGAAAGAAAACACTTGAGTTTTGCAAGTTTTTAGTACAGTAATAGCTCTTTGCGGGGCATACGTTCGAAGATTCCAAAATACAACCAATATGTATCAAAACAAAATCAATGTATTGATAAATTCGGAATTAAAATTAATCGTTATAATCAGCTTTACGTAAGAGTTTAAAAAATTTAGTGATTTTTTTCTTGTTTTGAATTTTGAAATTGGTCCACTCGGTTACATCTTTTATAAAAGTCGCCTCGGCAAGAACCAACAGTACTCAAAAGATGCTGATACCTTGAAAAATAATACCGAATCCTTTTCTACTCGGTTAGATTTTTTATAAAAGCCGCTTCAGCACTTACCAACGGTACATACTCAAAAGATGCCGATACTTTAAGGGGATTCAGATTATCGGTTCTAGATATCATGAGTCTAATATTTGGAACAGAGGTTTGAAATTTTGTAGTAAGATAGATAAAGCTTTGTTCTAAAGTCTGTAGAAGGCCATTTTTTAATTTTTTAATTTCTATTGAAAATACGTGTCCTACAAGAAGCATCAACTTTAAGCACTTGTAAAAGCTTTTAATGACCGTATTATTGAAGACCAAAAACGTACCGAGTTAGTGTGAACCTTTGTCTGTTACCATACAAAAAAACGCATATTTATCTCGTAAGGTTAAATCACAATGTTTAGAATAGAAACCCATGTTTTCGGAAAAATTCCCACTAGGCACGAGTGGTCTATTGCGGTCAATCCCCTGTTTACCTATTGCATCTGCGAATAATGAAATTTTTAGCCGCGAATACAGGAACTGGGTTGCAATTTTTCACCCGCGAATAATGAAAACGCGAATAAGGAAACCGTGAATAAGGAACTTTTACTGTAGTTACCTCTAATACCTACATTAAAATTAAAAATTCTGATTTAATGTTTACATTATCATTAAATGGGGCTTACATAAGGGACCCTTCGTCTTCCATTTCGTAATTGTACAATAGCTACAGGACATTGTGTTATCCGAGGAGATAGTTACTCCGACTATGGCTGCACCTCCATTATCTCTATCAGAGGTTTGAGAGAGAGAAATTTATTAGTACGTAAATAGTCACTTCTGATACATGGTCTGAACGTCCGAAAAGAGCTGGCTCCGTCATTTTCTAAGATAATCCAGAAAAAATCTGAACAATCTCGCCGTTCTGATGCTTCATTGCTTGTTTACAGGTTATGAAGAGACCTTTTAATTGAATAGAACTCGATGTTTTATCAATAATTCTAACTCTCCATTTTGTGGAAAACCTGACATTTCCGGTGATAAATTGGATAAGTTTTTTTCATTAGCAAGGACGAGATGCTTTTCCGAATTCCAGTACATAATGGACTTCGGTGACAAACGAACGTCCATGAAAGCATTTCGGTCGATAGTTATTGTCTTTTAACTTCTTCTATCTGAGAGTCACGGCAAGAATAACAATAAATGAGTATTCCAACGTTTCCGAAAATTGAACACTTAGATTCCAATAAGATTTAGAACGCTTTTCCTTCCTTTAAAAAGTTACTTTTCACTTAGTTAGAATTCTTCTATAACAAAGTTTTGTTATGTGAGAAGAACTTGTGGTTTTTTTACGTTTCTTAAAACTGAGATAAGAATGGTAACAGCGGCGTTTTTCAATTTAATACGCCATTTTTAAGGTTGATGTTTTATAGAAAGCAACAACGAACGAATGAAATAAACGGTGGAATAAAAATGCCATTGCGGTTTTTTAAATTTTCCCGCAGGCAGACGGCAACTTTTACATCCCACATTACGAAAATTAACGAGCTACTAAATTACCAACACATCGAAACAGTCTCTCCCTAGCGTAAATTGAAACAATAAATAAGCCTTTTAATGATCGTAATCAGACAACAAAGCGTTCGTGTCGCTAAGAATTACACTAGGGATAATTTTTAAACAGATTGCTAATTTTAGACCTGTAATCAAATCAATATAATGGCCGGAACATATTATCCACAGACACTCTTTTTATACATTTTTCAATTATACGTGTTTTTATTTCAATTATTCTGATTACTTTTATAATAAAACTGGACTAAACTTAGATTTCTTCTAATAACATCGTCACAGAGCCTAAGTTTCTGATAAGTTGCTTCTGGGGAGTCAAAGATCATTAATCTAAATCGTTATACGAGGGTGGATTGATAAGTTTCCGGCCTGACCAAGAAAAACAAGGTTTTTAAAAATTTTTTTTTTTTATTTCTCAACATAATCTCCTCCAAGGCTGATACATTTCTCATAGCGGTGTTCCAGTCTATTAATGCCATCTCTATAGACTGATTCGTCAAGCTCCTCAAAATAACCATTTACAGCTTCGATTACTTCTTCATTGTCCGCAAATCTCTTACCGCCAAGCCATTTTTTGAGATTAGGGAACAGAAAATAGTCACTCGGGGCTAGGTCTGGAGAGTAAGGAGGGTGCGGCATCAATTCAAACTTTAGATCGTTGATTTTAGCCGTCGCAACGATTGACGTGTGCGCTGGTGCGTTATCGTGATGAAACAAGATTTTTTTCTTCGCCAGATGAGGTCGTTTAATTTTCACCTCGTGGCTCAAACGTTGCAATAAGTCTGCGTAGTATTGACCAGTGATAGTATTACCCTTTGCAAGGTAATCAATGTATATAATACCTCTTGCATCCCAAAAAACAGTAGCCATAACCTTGTTCGCCGAAAAAATTGTTTTTGCCTTCTTTGGAGTTGGTTCCCCTGGTCCAATCCACTGTTTAGACTGTTCTTTGGTTTCAGGAGTGTAGTGGTGGACCCACGTTTCGTCAACGGTTACGAATCGACGCAAAAATTCGCTTGGATTACGCTTATACAATGACAAATTTGCGGTAGAAATGTTTTTTCGAATCAATTTTTGGTCGACTGTTAGCAAACGCGGCACCCATCTTGCACAGAGCTTTTCCATATGCAAATGTTGGTGCAAAATATGTTGCACACGTTCATATGACATCTTACAGGTCTCAGCTATCTCACGCACTTTCAATCTGCGGTCTCCCAGCACTATTTGATGAATTTTTTCGATCATATCTGGAGTTGTGACCTCAACGGGGCGTCCTGAGCGAGGCCCATCAGAGGTGCTCACACGACCCTTTTTAAACTCGGAAACCCACTGCTTAACGGTTGAATATGACGGGGAGGATGTCCCCAGTGTTGAGTCCATCTCTTTTTTAATTTCCTTCGGCGTTAACCCCTTCAAATAAAAGTATTTGATGACAGCACGATTTTCCTGCTTTTCCATTTTTACGAAAACCACAGAGGCGTCTTGTTCAGCGTGCTGTCAAACCTACACTAGCAAGGAGATCGGGCTGAAACTATAGCTACAAGCTATCCAAGGATGGTACTATAGAATGTCACCTCAAGGTAGGCCTAGTGGCGTCATCTCTTGGTTAGGCCGGAAACTTATCAATCCACCCTCGTATAAAAACCTGCAGTGTAAAATGCACTATATATTGAAAATACTTAAGAATAGATTTATCTCGACTTCTTTTCTTATCCTAATAGTTTCCAGCATCAGCGGCTGAAAGTTTGAAGCACACGTAAAAAAAGATAGACAGTGACAACTACAACAAAAAATTTATCAAAGTTTTGGGATCTGATTTTGTCACACTGATAAATACTTTTGAAACGTACGGCTTCTGGCTCTAACTTAAGAAAACTCACCTACTTTTACTTGCGTATAGAACCTTAAGCCGTTTTAGCTAAGAAAGTTTTTATAAATTTTTCAAGATTTACAACTGGCTACAATCATGTTTTGAAGGTAAAACCGGGAAACTGACATTTCTATATCTTCAGCGCCCTGCATCCTATTAGAAACGAACTACAGAGTGCCCAGCTTTTGACAAAAAATGGTGAAAATTTCGAACTGTACATACCATAACCTAATTTAATGTAACCTTTCCGTCAACGGGCGTTTAGCCACAATTACTGTCACTAATTGAATATTGACATCTGCACACGCTCAACACGTCTAATTTTGCCATTTTTAAATAAAAATTCCCGCTGAACAATCACATCCTGGATATCGAAAGTAGGACATTTAGCTAGATTAATTTCTCTATTAGATGGTTTAATTGTGAGCTAATTCCAGAATAGTCATAGATATTAGGGTAAGGATGCCGAATATGAGAGTCGCCAAATGTGAGATACTGTTCGTTTCAAGAAGTTAGAGACATGCTCCTTCCCTTTATTAGGATGCGCCATAGCATGATTCCAAATTCAATCATATTTGTCTGCGGAGCTCAGTTCTTCACCAATCATCGAGCGAGAACTAGACAAAAGTGTACAGTACCATTTGCGAAATTATTTAAACTGCCTCGTTAACTTAACGTTCTACACCCCTATAAAACTTTTGCTTTGTTTTCTATTGTTAATTTATGTACATTTTTGTATTAAGAAATTGCTAAACATTTTCGTCTAGTACTGTACAGTTCTACCGCCCATCGAGAGCTCTGCTCGTTCAAGCTTGTTCCAACTATTTCTGTCTTGCTCACGCTTAGTGTGTATTCTTTCTATCTTCGCGCAGATTTCTTCAAGGTCACAATTCTAACAAATTGAAATGG